ATTTTTCTTAATATGAATGTGAACCTATCCCAAGAACAAAATGGTGGTTTACAAGCCACAGAAGGAGGATATGCACATCAAGCTAACTCTTCTCCTCCCTCTCACATGTAAAAAAGAATAATAAACAAATTCAGATTTGTTATCCAAACTTCTGGATACAAATCCACATTACATAAAGTTTTAAATATATTCAGGAAATCTAACCCATGACACAACTGTTGCAATATCCCCAGTGGGATTCCATCTGTATAACCACGTCCCATCATATTTTCCTGTGCGTAAATCTGAATGTTGCAATTCATTAGGATTTGGATATAGTGTGTGTGCTTGTCCTGGTCCAACTTCTGAAGAGTGTTTGATACTATCAACACAAGTAATCTCCTAGACCCCCTATGAGGGCTGGGGTGGTAGGCACTGTCTGCAGTGCTTCCACTACTCCCTGAGCAGGTGGTTCCAGCTGATAGTGTTATAGGATGAGCAGTCAAGCCCCTAGTCACTCTTCTATAGGATGCCACAGGGCTCTCTGTTCTCCCATGTTATTTAACACCTGTAGGAAATCATTGGGGCAGGTGATTCATACATTAGGATGAGGTATTAAGATGATATCTATATATTTCCACCATGGGCCAAGCTGGAGATGTAGTGGATGTCATTATCTGTGTCTGTGAGGGGGTTGGATGGGATAAAACAATCTAAAGTTAAATATGAGCAAGAGATAAATGCTGTTAATTAACCATCCCCCCCCCCCCCCCGGTGTCAACTCCTGTTCTGTTACAGGATGGAGCAGCTGCAACTTCAAGATTCTCCTACATTTAGCGCATTTGAGTCACTGTTGTGAAATGGATGGCTGTGTAAATCATTTAAATAAATAAAAATATAAATACAATCTGGTTGTTCAGTAGATGAAGGCTGAGGGCAGAAGAGCCTTTTCCCAGCTTCAACTAGCTGGGCCAGTTGCAGCCCTTTTTGGAGAAGCCAGCACTAGCCAGAGTTACACACACACTCATCAATTTAAGATTGAACTGTTGCAGCACAATCTATCTAAGGCTTCTTTTAAATGCTACCTGGAAATGTCCATTGGTACAGAATGTGGCAGCCCGCTTACTGGTGTTTGAGAGCCAGGTCAACAGCATGTCAGGCACTACATTGGTTGCCAATTTGTTTCCAAGAACCATTCAAAGTTATTGTTTTGACTATAAAGTTCTATAGTTCTTTATATCTTCTGGACCATCTTCTCCAAACAGAATCTGCTCATTCTGATGCGTTCAACCCAGAATGGGATACTTCAGATCCCAGTGCCAATGAGATTGGGAGAAGTGAGTATGAATGTAGGTCTTATTGGTAGTTATACTATCTCTATGGAATAGTCTGCCTCCTGAGGTTCAAAGAGCCCAACACGCTTAGTGGTTAGTATGAGAGTGAAAACCATTCTTTTCTCCTGGGCACTTGGAAATTAAATTGCTTACTTGGTTATTTTAATGTTTTGTGTATAGTGAACGTGCATTTTAATTTTTAAATTTATCTTAATTTTTACTGATCTACATTTTAATCTGAAGTAACTGTGATACTTTGCTAGATTTTGCAGCTATGAAGTGCTTATAAGCTTTTGAATGTGAACTCATATAAATGATTCAATAAATAATCTGACCCTTTAATATTGGCAGTTTTTAAAATTTTTTTTATATATTTATAGATAGAAATAGAGATTAGATACATCAGAGACAGGTTTAGAGCCTGATTCCTATTTCCATCACTGGGCAAGTTTAGATATAAGCCTTTCAAATCTACTTACCCAAAATTTACGGCAATTTTTGTACTTTAAAAAATAGTCTGAACACATATTCTTATCAGATTGATTCTCTTCCAAACACTTCCTAGAAGCATCGGTTTCCTTGAATATGAAAGGAAATAATATATAAATACCTAATAGTTGATAATCATTTCCCACAGTTTGGAAGAGTGCCATGTTCATTTGTTGAAAGGCAACTAAACAATGAGGCTGTAATCTTACAAATAATATGTTGGAATAAAGTCCTACTTAATAGTACTCCTATCTGTTTCTTCAAAATACTAGTCTAAGACCTTAAACCTAGGATTAGGCTAAAAAGTTAAATCAATAGCTTTGTAGATGTTAAGATGCTAAGTATCTTAAAATTCTTTCCCAAGAAAAAAACATTGTTACCAAGAAGTGCAACCAAATCTGATTTGGCTGATGCAAACTTTTTTGTTTTTTTTTTTAAACATAAAAACTGATAATTTGAAAGATATTCCAGAATCCCAAGAAATATGCAAGAAATAAGATAACTTCCTCTTCTAACTCAGTATTTTTAACAGCTTGCTTAAAGGTTTTGTAACAGAGAATGATATCACCTATAACAGATTACAATTAAAGTTTAAAAAGGAAAAGCTACATCGTCAACCGAATTACTTCACAATTATGTTTTCTTCATAAGTAGAAAAGATGGAAGATGAAAAAAGACAAAAGTCTAGCTCAGGGAGCTGTGCCTCTTTGCAGAACTAAAGCAAAAGCATTAGCAAGCCTTCCTTCACAGAGCTAATAGGAGAGCAAGGAAAGATACATGGAATGCATGTTGTTGAAACAGCAATAACAGATACCATAAAAGCACTGAAGAACTCAAGTTTTATTTGTTGTATGTACCAGACTTAATTTTTATATAAATGTTTTTAAAAGATTTTAAAAGATTGTTAAATTATAAATTACACTATCTAATAAAAGCATTTGATTCATAATATCTTCAAGATTTTTAATAAAAGAACATGTATAATAAAATAAAATAAAATGCAGAAAAAGAATAAATAAGTATCCAAACTTAGATCTTGAATTACCTGTATTCAACAGGATGTTCTTATATTAAATATTTTTAATGTTTTCAAAGGGCAGAAATTTTTGAATTCATAAGTATTTCTTAAAATTTCAAAAGATGTATTTACAAATCTATAGACTCCAAAATTATTTGTTAGTGTCAAATTGTAATTTTACAGAAGTCTTACCTAAGCAGTACATACTTTTTTTAAAAAGACATTATTATGAAGACTGTGCATAAAATATAAATTTTAATTTATTTAATTAAATTTATTATGGCTGCCCACTTTTTTGTAGTTGTTTTATTGTATTATAAGATGCAAATAATACATTATAGAATTCAGATATTAGCTAAGTACAGAGATATTTGTACAATATAAATTAAAAATTGTTGATACTATAATAATTTAAATAACTTAAACTACTAAAGATAAAAATTATATCAATTCTGAGATATTAATGAACATAAGATACTTAAATTGTACAATTTAAAGATTGTACATAAGATTTTTAAATTGTACAATTAAAGCTAAGTGTGGCAATGACAGACTATTGGGAAATGCATTGAATTAATGCATAATATAGTAAGGATTTCTATCTTTAGCTTAATACTTAACACTGAGATCTCCACTATATTATTTGCTGTTTATTAATATTGAAGAGAGAGAAAAGAAACATAACAGAGGAAAAATAATTAAAAAACAGTTGTAACAACCACTTGTTCAGTGCCACTGCAAGTTTGAATGGTTGCTGAATTTGCCTTCCAGCATGATGTATTGTATATATGGGAGCCATTCTTGCTTAAATTTAATTAAACTTCTAATGTGGATATATGTTGTTAATTTTGCCATTGCTGCATATGCTCCAAATTTAAGTTTGCAATCAGATATCACTGGTGTTGTAGCTTTCTTCCAATATTGGGCAAAATTTATTCTTGCAGCCGTGAGCATATATCTCAGTAAGTGGTGATATTTCTTGTTGATATATTCTGGAATTATATCTAGTAAAAAAACCTCTACTCTGACAGACTCTGGGCAGCTTACAGTATCTAAATATACAATTCAAACAGTTAAAAATATGAAATAAAATGTGGCAGCCTGGACTAAAAACAACCATAATGATAAAAATAGTACAGGAGCTTCACAGACACACTAACCGTAAGCCTCAGAACAGAGCCAGGTCTTAAGACCTTCCAGAATGCAAAGAACATGGGTGCTGTACGTATCTCTGGGGAGATGCTGTTCTAGAGGTCAAGGTCAACAACAAAAAGTGTTTTGTTTCAAACTATTGAAGTTCAAAAGTTCTGCCAAACCATTATGGACTGACTGCAATTCATCAGAAACAAACCCAGAATATACTGGTAGTTACAGGATCCCTTCTACAGCCAGTCATCAATGTACTGGTCTGTGCACTATTCCTAAGCATGAGAGTCTAGTGTGGCATATATCCCACCTGCCTACCCAATCTTTCCAGCTTTTTACTCCCCTGCCTCCCCTCAGCCACTGGTTAGGTCTCCACGTGCCATTGCCAAGGAAACCCCTTCAGATTTGTTTTTTTTAACTCTTAGCCCTCCTCTGAACCACACCTGCCTGGATCAATGTACCTAAAAGAACATAGCCACATTTCATTCTACATACAAACCAAAACACCTGGAATACATGTCTCAGTTTGGGCACAGACTGTTCTGTGTTTGGAGCATTTTGCACATCATTATTATGTAAAGCTACACTTCAGAAAAATAAATTAAGGTTTATGAGAACTCAACTTACCACTAAACATGGATTAATATCTTGATCCTTAAATCGGCGTTTTTGGGACATAAAGTCGGTACAGTATTATTTTCTATGTGTGTGGTTTTCCTGTTAAGGATAGCAGCTAGAAAAAAGAAGACAATTTCAACATATAAGGACAGCTTTTGTCTTGACAAAAATGTAAGACTTTTTCCTAGGGATCTGTATGTAATATTTAGAAAAAAAGCAGATATGTGTTTTCTAGGAAATTTTGAAGCAGAAAAAAGTTTGTTTGCAAATAAGTATAATTAAAATCAGCATCTATGCTCATTAGCCATAGTACGTTCAGTATTATTTTTAAAAATCTAGCCTTTTTTATGAGGTTTAACATTACGTTTAAAGAAACACAAAGCTATGAAACATAATTTTCATTTGAAAATTGGAAAGAATGTTAAGCAATAGTGACAAAATACTTTGTTAAGATGAAAATCAACTGTAAAGCAAATATTATATACTTTGAAACTGCCAAAGTTGACTGAAGTGAAACAAATTTCAGAGAAAATTCTGATTCCAGAAAATTTTGCACTGGCGTATCTTTGAAAGAAATATAAAGCAGAAATATGTTTTTGCTCATCCCAAAATTAGGAATTTACAATTTTCCACAGGGGATGGCTGTCACATATGAATTTAGAGGTAAGAGGTGGGTAATTAGATCAAGCAAATTTATATGGGTTTCAGTTAAGTCACTTGAATATATTTATGTAGTCACAGGGGAGTGGGGAATAGAGGACCTATTTTTCCATACAACACTAATTGAAAAAAGGATCTAATAAAATGAAAAATCTTGTTTGAAATATTTTTTCAGTATGTATTCTAAAATTCACATTTCTCTGAATTGCTTCGATCCAAGATTCAGACTAATATTGGTGATTAAAGTACTGTTAAAGTTGCTGCAATAGTTCCTAAAGCAACTTACAAACTCTAACAAGAGACCCTCTGGTTCACAGTCTTGAAAGTATAAAAGATCAATTGCAACAGTTGTTACAGATCAAGAAACTGCTAGTTTTCTTATCATAATCCCTGGAAATAAATTAAAGAAGGAAGGAGTAAAATCTCTGGCCTCTTAGCTCAGGCTTCCTGTCATTCTGTCTACTATCTCTTACAAAATGGCTTTTGGATGACAACTGAGGGAAAGACAAAGCACAATGAGGATGATTTCCAGACCAAACAGACTGTGGCTTGCTTTCCTTCTTCTGTCATGTTGTTACTGCCTTAATTTAGATGCAGCAGTTATGGATTGAGCTTTGAAATGTAAAACAGTAAGCGGTTTTCCAAGTCTTACTATTTAAATTAAGAATACAAAACATGTTTTAACTTTACATTACCATGTTACATTCATGGTACAGGAGAGCCATGTTAGTCTAGCGAAAAATCAGAAGTCTGGTAGCAGTTTCCTGAAGTCTTTTCAAACTTACAATTTTATTAAAAGGCATAGGCTTTCATGAACTTCAGCTCACTTCATCAGATTGGAACTGAAGTGATCAACAATACACAAAACTTTATACCTTTCAATAACATTTGTTAATCTGAAAAGGTGTTACCAGACTCCTCCTGATAGATAGTATAGCACTCTCTTGAAGTGGGACAGCAGTTATAACTTAACTTTCACAACTCAATTAATATAAATACTAGTACTGGCAAACCACTTAAGAAATATTGCCAAGAAAACAGCATGGATCTGTCCATGTAGAAGTTAAAATTGACTTGAAGGATCATTACACACATGCTGATTTGCAAATAAGCTTCTAGATGTGATTTACAGCCCCATATTTATTTGTGTGATTTATCTACTACTCAATCCTTGTGACTCTTACAAAATTTATCTGCTGACATTGGTCATTCATTTCTTTATTTCAGAATAAGGAAAGACACTGAGATATTTTGGTCACTGGTTCTGGAAAAAAAATATTAAAGATATTTCCTATGATAAAGCAGGTTAGAGTATACATATCCTATATATATATATATATATATACACACATACACACACATACATACATCATACACACACAGTATATATATACAGTATACAGACGCAGACTAGGCTTTATTTATACAGTATACAATTTATATGAAACTTGCAGCCCAATACTATGTAAATTCTACTAAATTCAACAAGGCTTACTGTCAGACTGCCCAAATAGTTACATCTTATGTTTAAAGCTCTGCATTTTCTTAAAATGTTACAAAATGTAACTGCTAAATGTACTAATTACTAACTGTAGAATATGTGAATTCTAAAATATGTGTAATTTCTTTTTTGGAAATATAAGATACATTAAGTTTATAGAGCTGCTACCAGGACAAAACAGTCCTTTTTTATGGTAGTCTCAAGCTGAAGCACCTTGTACTATAAAAGTCTACTCCTGCATCTTAGAATAGGAGCAAGTCCTTTATTAAATATTTTCCCTCCTTGCAAAAAAAAAAAAAAAAGAAAAGAATACATGCAGACTGAGCTTTATGACATTAAGTGCCAGTCTGCTAGAGCTCTGTGTAACTTGCGGTAGATGGGAGAAATGCCTGTACTCCTAATTATTTAAAAATGGTAGCAGCATCTCCCTCCCAAAAGCAGGTTGCAGAAGTGAAGAAAGTTCAGGAAACTAGCGAATTGGTCCTGACACTGAAAATAAATTCCCAAACTCAGAATTTCTTTTCCAAATCTATATATTTTTTGTATCAGACCCTATTTAGTTAGACTTAAAGGCAAACACTCTTAAGTATACAGTAAAGTGTTCCTTGAGTCAAGCTTAACTCCTAATGACTACATGAACACTTCCCTGTTATTTTCCAGGCAACAGGATATGGAAGTGACTTTATTCTGGATTTACAGCCCTGGGATTTCCATCTAGGTACTAACAGATTCAACCTTGTTTCATGTTTTCAAGACTACGTGAGGTGCTAGTGAAGCGTACCCATCTCTAACTGAAGAGAAGTTCAAACTCTCCAGCAAAGATTTGTAAAAGCTTCCCGTCGTTGTGTACACTTTTGTGTATTCTTCTATAACAGCAAATTTATGGACGAGACTGACATACGTTCCTTCTGTAGCATTCTTTCCAATGAAACGCTTTCGGGAAGTCTATAAACACAAAGGAAACAGCTGTCTCTGTGCTTCGAATCCAACTTTCTGTAAAATTCAATGGAGCACACCGCCATTCACAACAGAAACGGAGAAAGGGAAAGGAGAACGGGGCGGGGAGGCTAATTCCGAACCCCAAGTTGGGCACAAATTTATAGGGAGGGTTGAGCCTCCGTAGACTGAACTGCTCCCGCCGCCTTCCAATGTAATCTAGCCGACGGGACCCCGGAGCATCTTGGTGGGTGGCGATAATGACCCCGTAAAGCCACTCCGGCCCGTTTGCGGGACACCCACGCAAGAAAAGCGAATCGCGGAAAGCCATGATCACCCCGCGACCTGTCCGTTTCAACGGACGCGTGAAGAAAGGAACCCGAAAGAAGCCTTCAGCACCTGAACGGGAAAAGGGGGCGAAGCCCGATGACCAGAGCATACCCGACCTTCGACCACCTCTCCCGCGAAGCTCCTTTCCCCTCATTCTCCCTGTTCAGTGAACAGCCGAGGGCAGCGTCTGCCGCGGGCGCCGCGACGCCCCCAGAGGAAGGCAGCTCCGGCGAGGCCTATCTGAGCGGGCGAAGGCGCCCCGCGCTCCACAGGCGACTCCGCGCTCGCACGACGCGGCTCTGGAGCCAATACTCACCTCGGCCACCGCGAGGCAACCCAACTCGCGGCCTGAAGGCTCGTCTCGAATTCGAAAGACGTCAGCGGCTTGGGCAGCGACCTTATAAGTGGCGCAGCCTACCCCATTTCTGGCCCCGCAGCCCGGTGGAAAATGACAGTTCCTTGACCCAATCCCGGTGGCTGGAGCCCTTTGAAAGGCAGCGCCAAGCTGCGGCGGACTGACCAATCCGTGCTCGGTTCCTCCCCGGCCTATCCCGAGCGGCGTTTCCTCCTACCAACGGGGCAAGCCGTGAGCGCGAAAGGCGCCGCCGCCTGGGCGCGGCTAGAGGGCTGAGTGACAGGGGGAGGTGTCCAACCCGCGGCGCGTGTGGGCGGCTGGCGGTGTGGGCGCGGCGTGTGCGGCAGGCTGAGCTGCACCGCAGCGCATACACTACAATGGCTGCTGGAAAGAGGGGAAAGCAAACAATTTCCAGGCCCGCCGCGTCCAGCCCGAAATATGGGGAAAAAATTACAGAAAAATCGGAGAACCCTGTAAAAGGCGGGAAGCGGGCGCTGAAGGGATGCTGAGGCTCCCGGGGTGAGTCTGCTGCGGGTTGGGGGTTCTGCAGCCGGGGTTCAGCAGGGAAATATTAGGGTTATTTAAATACTGGAGGGGGAGGAGGAGGAGGAGGAGGGGGGACGCGAAGAGCGGAGCAACAGCAGCCGGAGCAGCGATGGGGAAAGTTTGCGCGGCTCCATCTCTCTTTTTAGCCCTTCTGAGCTTCTTGGGGGGTCCCTGAGTCCAGCCCGGGAAGGCACCCTAAAAGTAAGCCTCGCTTTCTCCAGCCTTGGCTGGGAGTTCTTCCCCGCTCTCCCCCCCTCCCCTTTGCTTCGGTCCGGGTTTCTTGAAACGGTGAAGAAGTGCCCCCTCCCGCGCGCGCTTGTTTTAGTAAGTGGGGAGTTTTGCAGAAACTTGGAGAAAAGTCCCCCCCCCGACCTCGTCTCTCTGTATGTGTGTCTTCTCCACCCCCTCCCTTCCCTGAGCTCCAGCGTCTGTGCTGTGAATATAGTGACAGCAGCAGTAGCAGCAGCAGCAGCAGCAGCAGCAGCAGCGAGGAAGGAGCGGAAGACATTAGAGCCCGCGGTGCCCCAAAATGAGAGAAAATTAATGAAAATTCAGCGGTAGCGCCGAATCGGACACATTTTGCGCAGAAACGTTGCAAGAGGGTTGCTCTTTCCTGACGGGGCGCCGGGGTCCCCGCAGCTGAAGCTTTGGGGGGATCTGGAGTCACTTTGGGACACCCAGCGCCCTTCTCCCTCTTTTTATTGGACAAAAGTTTTTTTTTGCTCCCCCCCGCAGCATAAAGAAACGAATTTGCCTCCTTTTTGACTTCGGCGGATCCGGGAGGCTTTCGCTTCCTTTCTCGTGTGGTTCGGGAGAGGAGCTTATGAAGGCGAGCAAGGTTGAGGGTGGGTAGCATTGGGGAGCGGGGTTCGTTAACTGAAAGCAGGAGAGATCCGGAGAGAGAGCAGGGACAGCTTGTTGTCAGTATCATAAACAACCAAAATGGAGGGAGAACTGAGGCATATAACAAAATTAAAAATAGCTCGAAAATTCCTAAAAAAAATCCCCAAGTCGCCCGAGCTTCCGAATTGCCCCCTAAAAGATCACACTGAACCCGCATACCCTCGTGTGGTTTTTTAATACTCTCGGAGAGCAAGGAGTTAAAATTGATGCCTATTTTTGTTGTTGATGATCGCTTTAGAGAGGCAAAAGCCCTTTTACAGCTCATTCCCGACACTGCGAGAACGTGAAAACCCCCTTTCTTCCTTGAATGGTGGCGGGAGGTGGGAATGCACGAGCTGTACAGCTTTGGGGCAATGTGGAGCTGATTGCAAAGAAGGTAACTGCTACATTTGCCAAACGTTGTACCTTCCTTTTCTTGTTCTTTGTCTGTGGGGGGGTGGTGGAAGCACAGATGAAAGAAGGGGGAGGTGGCGCGAAATGTATTACCTCGAGGTTGCCTTTCTGTCTTTCCCCCAATTAAGATCTGCGATGTAAAAAAGTAAACTTTTCCTGTTTATGGAATATCTTTAGGTTGATTATGGATCCCAGTGTTTGGGTCCCTCTCTGTAAAGTGCATTCTGTTTGTATAATACGGAGTTAAAGCAGCGTGCCTTAGAGTGAATTGGCGGAAAATACATGTAGTGGGATCGTCTCTTCTGGGAGAGAACCGGTGACTTGGTCTAGCATACTTATTTCACTTGATTTGTATTTTACAAAGCATGTAATCTGCAGTTTTCTCCAGATAAAAAAGATGCATTCTCTTGCATCACATTAATGTTAATGTGAAAGTGCTGCTGATGTTGGTTTCCACGTGGGATCAGAGACAGAGCAGGGTATCTTAAAGAGACAGCTCCTCTTTTAGCTATCCTCACCTATGTCAAATCTCTGGCTAAGGCAAAGTAGTTGTCCTGGATTTACTAAAATGTAAAGTTATAAATCAAACTCTGAAGGCAGACCATGACTCCTTAAGCTGACAGAGTTGCACCAGTTCCAGGGTGATTTCTATGGATGTTGATTGGATCTAAGTATTTACTTGCTGTGATGCCATAAGGCTGTATAGCAGCTGAATTTAAATTAAATTGTTGTGCTTTGGCAATTGATTTTGTAATGTTATGTGCAGAACCTGAAATAATTTCTGCAAGTTATAGCATTATAATTTCTCAGAGGAACATATTATATAGTTGTTTTTTTTCACTGTATCAACATAAATCCAAATGAAGGCATGAGAAAGTTGATAACTTACATTGATAATATTTGGGGAGGGGGATGTCAGTTAAAGTGAAGTAAAAGTATGTGTTTTTATGAACAGTATTCAAACTTGGTCAAAATATATGGCTATGGCACATTGACAAACAGCCTGTGTATTTTGGAGACCTGATGTGTGTGAAATTTTTACATTTGCTTATGATATCTCTGTTGTTTTCATTGAAATACAATATAAAATGAAATCAGGTCATATTTTTTTAGTATTTGTTGTTGATAGACACCTGATAATTTGAACTATTCATGACAGGTTTGCTTGTCTTTTAAAGTGAACAGTATTAGTCTTTGTGATACAGAATTGACCATACATGTTTGAAAAATTTCTAGCAGTATACCTGAACCTGAAAAAATTTGTAACAGCCCTAGCCTTTCTCATACACACACATATATATAACATACTTGCTCTTATACTATATAGATTATAAAGTGAATTCAAATAGGTATTCTGCTCAAAAGGATGAACTGAATTTTGAGATAAACACCATCAGTGTTTATTTTGTGCATCTAAACATCTGATTTAGTGTTTCTTTTATATGAGCAACCTTATCAACTGAATTCAAGGATTATAGCCTTGTGATCATACATGTCCTGTCACTTCGTTGGGTAAATGTATTTACTGTGAATAATCCTGTGGCTTAAGACCTTTGCACAAAAACACCAAGTTTTCCTGTGTATCACTTTTAAAAATTTTATCATTGCAATTATTTTGAAAGAATAAATAAGTTCATTTGGGGAGAGATTAATCTGTCTATATGAAGATGCTATATAAACTCTTTTTGCTGAAGACTTACCTATTTTTGCTTCATGATACAGTATTTTAAATACATAAAAATAACTTCAAAGGAAACAAACTTGCAAATGGCTGATGCATGCCATGTGTTTTAAAAAGGTCACTTGAGTGACTGGTGTTTGCAGGACATAGCAATTTTCAATTACCAGTTAAATCACTAAGTTCATAAGTAAATATAGGGGAATAAGTAGGAATTGAACCTGTAGTCTTCCACTGTTACCCTAAATTTATATGATACACTATGACATTTGTGGAGCATGCATAGAAACTTTCAACACAGGCATTAACCTTAATGCTGAATTTTGGGCATGAATTCTTGAATTCTCTAGAGGTTTACATTAAATTGAATTTCCCAGAGGAACAAATGAAATCTATCTGCCCTTCATAATAGAAAATTTAATGCTGTATTTGAGCATAGTTTTATGAGGTGTACTTATATCATGATAAATTGTTAAAGAAATGAATTATTCTGAAAGATATAATCTGAATTTTATTTTCTTGCTGTCTTATGAATGTTCTCCATTTATGGAAATGTTTAATGCAATTAAATTAGAGTGTTTGTTGTTTAGCTGTAAATATATTTAAAGCTAAAAGACTGAGAAAAGTATTTGTTTCTAGAATATATTTTATTGCCTAACATTTTTTTTTAGAACAGGTGAATTTCTAGATCTTTTAAAAATTGCATTGATATCCAAGAATATAGATCTTTTATTACTGGGAACTTACAATTCTTTTTAAAAAGTTGAAAGTGTTTTATGAAGTTACATTGATTCTGAAATTCTTGAATTATAAAATCCCACCATCTAATATGCTATAACATTTAGAAATTTCAAAGTTTTTCAGTGCATTTTATTCTTCATGCTACTCTATAATACAACTTTCTTCCAGAAAATCTTTTAAATTTCTCTTAGATTTTCGTGCTTGCTGCATGAATAATTCAATTAAGATATTCATCCTCTTACTAATATTTTATGAAAATGGTTTATTTCCACTATAATTTTACTCTTTTGATACAGAGATTTAAGTTGTTCAGTTTAATACATTTATCTGAGTCATTTATGTAAATTTGCTTTATACTTAGAAAAGCTTTTAAAAATAGCTTTAAGTTGTGTACTTTACACTTGGAGATTATAATTTGTATCTGATAAGTTTAATTTTAATCGTTTTTACACTTAATGTTAAACTTTAAAGGGATAGTGAATAATTGCTTTATGTGTTAAAAGTTTATAGTATCCAAATATTCCATGAGTCACACTAAGGTGCTAAAATGTCTTAAGTGATGAGAATATTTTTCTGAAAGTAGATATCATTCATTTGTTTCAGTAGAAGGATTTAATAAATGTCCACATGGCTTGTTGACCATCTTTAACCAATTACTATTTAAAAAGTCTTAGAATTCTCTATGAGAATAAATGAAACATGTGAACAATATATTTTGTACTTGTCTGACATAGAATTTGTTTAAAAATTGATATGACAGCTACTGCTTTAA